ATGGCCCATCGTTGTAATTTGGACGATTGCGGAGCATTTCTCACTATAAAGGCTAGAGGATTATGATCAGTCACAATTTTCACCGATGAACCGAATATCCAAGGTTCAAACTTCTTCAATGCCCATACTATAGCATAAGCTTCACGCTCTATAGTCGGCCAGCTCTGTTGAGGTTTCGATAATTTCTTGCTCGCGTAGCAGATGGGAAATTGCTTCTCTTGCTTCTCTCCCCTTTGCTGTGACAAACATGCACCTATTCCGATTTGGGATGCATCAGAATGAATGACAAACGGATCCTGCAGTGTTGGGGTGATCAGCTCCGTTGACATCGCTAATCGTTCCTTCAGTTGTTGAAATGTTGACTCATGAATTTCTTTCCATTCGAGTATTTCCGGTTGTTTATTTTTCGTGAGTTCTGTGAGTGGGTAGGCGATCTCTGCATACCCTGGGATATAATCGCGATAATAATTACATAGTCCTAACAGACTTTTAAGATCTCTTTTCGTTTTCGGCGTTTCCAGCTTCTTGATTGCCTCTATTTTCTCGGGATCTGGTTGATGTTTTCCTGATCCAATGATGTGTCCTAAATATTTAATTTGAGGTTTTGCAAACGAACATTTCTTCGAATTGATAGTAAATCCAAGTGACTCTAGTTTGGTAAAAACTTTATCCAGATGTCGGAGATGAGTGTCGAAATCCGTGGAAAATATAGCTATGTCATCAATATAGGCTCTTGAAAATTGTTGAAATTCTTTCAGCGCGTTATTCATTACTCTCTGAAAAGTTGCTGCTGCTGCGTTCCTTAATCCAAAGGGTAGCACTTTAAACTGATATTGACCTCGATGAGTTTTGAACGATGTGTACTCTTTACTTTGTTCCTCCATGGGAATTGCCCAATATCCTTTCAGCAAATCTAAAGTTGTTATGACGTTGGCTCTTCCTATACTGTACATTAAATCAATGGCATTTTGCATAGGAAAGTCATCTGGCTTCGTCACTGCATTCAAAGCTCGATAATCTAAGCACAATCTGATATCTCCATTTTTTTTTTTGCTTACACAAACTACTGGATGAGCTATTTCTGCATTACTTTCTTCTATTAGTCCCGATTTCAATAATTCTTCTACTTCTTCATCGACCTTGGGTTTCAATGCTTCAGGAATCCTATAAATGTAAGGTTTCTTCCTCTCCATATTGGGTATTAATCTAATTTTATGAGCTTCAACTTTAGCTATTTTCAGCTTTCCGGTGAATAGTGCTCGGGTGTTTGTTGATAAGAGCTATCAATTTTCTTCTCTGCTGCGGATTCAAATTTTCTAAATTCAGATTTGCATCTATTTTAAAATCTTCCAGGGGGGTCGAGAGATCTTTTCCTGGTAAAGTTATAATTTCTCCAAATTCTTCTTCATTTTCAAATATCACTCCAACTGCATTGACACTAGCTTGGAATTTTCTAATTTTATTTGCATGAACATGTTTGATCTTTCCATCAGGTAGTTTTACTTTATAGGAATGAGGTGGGCAATGATTCACGATTTCTCCTGGACCAGTCCATCGTGCATAGAGTTTGTTATTTGAATCTGGTATGAGTAAATAAACTTGTTCTCCGATTTTGAAATTTTTTGGTATTGATCTCCGATTAAAGTACTCAGCATATTTTTGTTGTTTATCACTTGCAATTAAATTGGCTTGTTCGGCTGCTTGTTCTAACCTTATTTTTAAAAGTTGTAAGTAATCCACTGCCGATTCACTTAGATTAGGTGGTATAGGTATTTCTCCTGACCATGAAGACTTCAGTACTGCTAAAGGACCTCTTGGTTGTCTTCCATACATCAGCTGAAATGGTGAGACACCCGTGGTGCAGTTTGGTACTTCTCTGTATGCAAAGAGCAGGTATGGGATGTGCTTATCCCAATTCGAAGGATCAGTCCTGATGACATGATGTAACATTTGCTTGAAGGACTTGTTCCATCTTTCTACTAATCCATTTGAAGCACTGTAAGCAGGTGTAGAGAACCTAGGGTGAGAACCTAGTCTTTTCTGGAATTCTTTAGTTAATTTTGAAACGAAGTTACTTCCGTTGTCACTAGCTATTGTATTAGGGATTCCTGTTCTCATGAAAATCTCCAAAAGCGCGTCGCAAGTGGCTTTTGCTGTCAAGCTTCTCAGTGGAATGGCTTCTGGCCATCGGGAATGTTGATCTACCAGACATAACACATATTTATGTTTCCTAGCAGAGGGAGGTTCAATAGGTCCAATAATGTCGATGTTAACTGTTTCGAAAGGTAATCCTGGCCTTCTGACCGGTGTGATGGGAATCTTGTCAGATCGCTTTTCTGGACTTTTCAACTGACAATCTTTGCACGTTTTACAAAAGGTTTCAACATCTTGTGCTAATCCAGGCCAATAAAATGAATATCGTATTCGCTCCTTTGTTTTTCTTATACCAAGATGTGCACCGAAAATGGAACTATGTGCTAATTCCAGCACTTGTGCTCTTCTACTAAGTGGAAGCACTAACTGAAAAACATTCTGTCCTAATATTTTTTTCTTGGTGATGTAAAAGATGATCAATAAATAAATAATTTCCTTTTTTTTCTATTGCTAGCTTCCATGCTTCTCTCAGCGAGGGACAGTTAACTTGCTCTTCGCGTAGGCGTTCAGCAGACGATAAGTCTGTGTTTACATAAACACTCGCCTTCTTCCCTTCCTCCTCTTCGTTTTTCTCCTCCATAAGCATTAGCGGGGGGGGGAATCGACGCTGTCGTTTGACTGTGCATTGGCGAATAAAGTTTGTAAGTTTTCGCTTCCGTAATTATTTCTTTCTGCGTTTGGTTCTTCTGCCGCAGGATTAATCAACAGTTCGTATATTTCTGGAGTTATTAGGCAAGGCACATTTAGCTTATCAGTCACTGCAATTAATGTATCCACAAAATTAAATATATTGCTTCCATGATCTTTATGGTAAATAGGTACACGGCAAACTTTTGCTTCAATTGGTTGTCCGAAAGCAGGTGTTAGCAATATTTTACCTCCTTCTCTCTCCTCTAAATTTGGAATGAGCGATGAATGTACGATCGTTATCTGCGTTCCAGAGTCTACGATAGCTTCGATTTTCTCAGAGTTAATAAAAATATCTACTTTTTGCAGTGGTTGAACGATGCGTTCTGCGAATTCAGATCGTAGATGGGATGAGTCTACTTTAGCTACGATGGCTTCTTCTTTTGATGTTCTGTTTGAATTTTTTTGAGTTTTGGAATCATCCTTTCCCTTCTTATTTACTGCAGTTTCGTTCTTTCTTCTTTTGTCTGGGACAATCTCTCGCGATGTGTTGATAATTTCCACAAATATAACATTCTTTTCTTCTCGCGTGAAATCTTTCGTGTTTTGGATATTCTTTTCTCATGGGTGGTGGAATATATTTGTCGTGTGCACATGTTGTATCCAGGAATCTCGGTGATCGCTTAATTCCATTTCGAACTTCGTCGAAAGATTTTCCTTTGGCCGTGAAATAAATATCACATTCTGTAGCTAATTCTTGAGGCTTCAGCCATTTATTTCCTTGGCGTATTGCGACGTGTGCAGCTGTTTCTTCATCTAATGCTTGGAATAATTTATCGGAAATAATTAACTCCTTGAGTGTTTCGAAATCCTTTACTTCTCTTGACTTGCAGTAATAGTCCCATGTAGCTGTTAGTCTTGAAGCGAACTGGATATGCGTTTCGCCGGAATAACGTTTAGTTTTTCTGAAGTTTTCTAAACAGGTTTGAGGAGTAGGTTGATATTCCTTCAGAACAAGAGTTTTCACTTTTTCGTAATTTTGCAGATCTTCCTCCTTTATATAAACAAGAACATTTGAAGCTTTTTCTCCAATTAATTTCAATAATATTTCTGATTTGTATTCTTCAGGAACCTTCTTGTGCTTAAATGCTCTTTCGATAGAATCGAAAAATATATTCCATTCTTCTGCTCTCTTCGGTACTGGTATAGTCAGTGTTTCTACTCCTTTGATCAGCTTGTCCAGGGAAATTTCGGTTTCTCGTTCTGTGTTTTGGATTAAAGGTGTTGGACTTCTACTTCCTTCATTTTGAGTTGCTCGAATCTTCGCTAGTTCTATTTCGTGTTCTCTTTCTGTTCTTATTCTTTCTTCTTCCATTTGCATTCTTTCCATTTCTTCTTTCTTTTTTCTATTCTCCACTGTAGTAATCAGAATTTCTTTCACGAAATCAGCATCTTCGATGTATTCCTTGCTATTCTGGAGTTTGTGTTTCAGTTCTAGTTCTACCAGCTTCAAATCTGGGGATGCTTCTTCGCCAATTTCCAATAGAACTGTTACTAAATCCTCTTTCTTTGCGTTTTTGAACATTTTCTTCTATTTTCCTTTAGAATCAAGCCTTTTTCAAACTCTCGATTAAATAATTCTCACGTTTTTACTCTCTTTTGCAAATGAACACTTCTTTCGTTAGTTAGGCTTAACTTTACGCCTCTTCCGTTTTCAACGCTCTAAGCTTCTAACCTCTCTGGTTTTCTCGTAAGAGAGCGTGTTGTGATGACTTCGTGGTTTAATAAGGCACCATTTAGCAAGACGAAACAAACATTTATTAAATATATAATTCAAAGCATAATATAATAGTTACTCAGAGCAGTACGTCGCTCCTACCGCATAGTACAATCTACTACCTTCCTCTTCCGAGGCTAACATGCAACTCCTAATAAATACATTAACCCTTCTCGAAGAAGAGCTACCTGCGCCAAGCATGCTCTGTTGATCGCCAAACAGTCGCCAATATCACATTTGTTTTATTATTTTAAAGAGCGGTTTTTATCCCTAATGTTTTTTGGTGTGTCTGAATTAAATGTGTGTTTAACTTGTTTTATATACTTTCCTCTGGATTTGATACATTAGTCTATTGTTTTTTATTGTTTTAATTTCCGATTGACACCCCATCTCGTGTTTGGCGCACTATAATCATCTTTGGTTTTGCGCTATAATCTCTCACTCACTCACTCATTAAGGAGATAGGAAGAAAATAGTCTTGATATGTTAGATAAGCATCAAGTTTAGAAATGGGGAAGAAACTAAAGCTGCTCAAGGAATTGGGAATAAGACCAACATTTTTGTAAAGATTCCCGCTGCTTCAAATTATCATATTAGACTCACTATTCTTCATTTATTTAGGAAAAATATTATTTCGCTATAAAGAGTCGTTATTACTACTTTATGCATTGTAAAATCAAAGTTCATTTTGATTATAAATAAAAAAAGACACGGCTATAAATAAGATGTTGTTTATTAGCACCATACATATATAACATGAAAATAATAAGTCACGAATTTTCATAGAAATTGCGATTTTTACAAATAATAATGGGAATTTTTTTCTGTTACAGTTTTTATAGATATCTGGAACCAGATAAACTCTTCAAGTATAAGTTTTAAATGTATTTGAAAATCTCACGGGTATTTGATTTCTGTTATCACAAGAGACATTAAATAAAATTATGCTTCTTATTCAGTGTCACCTTTCACTGTTAGACTATATGCGATAAGAATGGTTCACTTTCAGAATGACCAAGAATGCAGTTTTTGTGATTGAAATTATCATAAACAATGACTTGTTTCTTCTCGCCCAACTCAGAAACGAAAGATCGTAATCTGGAGATTCTTCCACGTGAGTGCCAACTTGTTGCTGAGAGCCGAAAGGCATATTCTTCAAAATTCTGGAGGACTTCTGAGCTGATTTCTTCCAGATTGCCCTGCTTAAGGCAAAACTTGCAATTCTCCCTAAGAGATGGACAAGAAATACTTTCATTAATCAAGCACCAACTAGAAGCAGAAACTGCGCAGTTTTCTTGAACTGGATTAGAATTAACAAGCAGCTCAAATGATCGAATGCGTTTTAGTCTAGTAGGAGAAAATTTTGGGCTTGATCCAACCAAGGGAATCTCTTTATATTGCTCATGTAAGATGTTTGTCTCGAAACGTATCTTTTTCGGGGACTCAAGACAGAGACTTCGCTGAGAAGTTAAAAAATCTGATAACTTGCTTTTTTGCTTCAAAGAAGACTTCTTTGTAGTCTGTGTGGCAGGTGAAATCTCCATAATCTTGTTTTCTCCAACATTCAATTTTCGGCAGTCGTCTTGTCCCAAAAGCCAATATGTGCGCATCTGTCCTTTACCCTTTGAATCAAAATAAATAAAATATGCATGTACATTTTAAAAATGGAACTTCCGATTTAGAGAAAAGGATGTACATTTTGCAAAAGGATATACTAATGCATTAATGAGGGTTTAATTAGAATGCAAACAGAAGAAATCTTTATGTTATTAAGGAAAAAATAAAGACAAATCTTTGAATTGAGTAGTTTGTGAAGTGCAGTTTAAGGAAATAATCAGCTAAAGAGCAGAGGGGAATGTTATGTTTGATAAAGTTCCGCCGAAGTTTGTAAATTACCTTAAATACTAAATGACATACATGAAAGGAAAGCCAAAATAAATTATAGAATATCAGCTTCTATAATAATATATCTAAATTATGAAACATTTTCAATATTACTTTAAGTTTGAAAAATTAAAATTTCTGGTATGTGATATCCATGGCCAAATTTACTCATAAGCACAAAATTTGCAAATCATGGTATAAATTTTTTCATTTACGTACATTTCATAAGCATGAAGTTTTGCACACTATAAGAACTTTTTGCAAGCGATATGAAGCTTTTGCATTTAAAAGGATGTGTTGTCATCTTATTGTTGAATTTTAAAATAATAGTCTTAAGATAATTAAAAATGTTAACACGCTATAAATATTTATTACTGAGAAAAGTAATCACGCTGTTTATCTCTCAAAAGGGACTTATTCTTTTCGTCTAAAATCAGTTAACGAGAGATGTTTCCAAAATTCTGGGAATTTAGGTTAATTTTTTTTTTATTTCATCAATATTGCAACTCAGTTTTTCAACATAATCTTCATTTAATTGAATATACTTATACTATTGAAAAACTAATTTTTTAAGCCGTCCTCAAAGAACTTTTCTGACGTCTCCACAATCTATCTATTTATGGCATGGTTAAACTCTAAAAGTAATACTCTAAAAGTACTACGAAGTAAATGATTGCTCATCGCATCTTTCGTGGTTGTGAAAACAATGCTAACAAAAATGCGCGTATATCAGTCAAACAACTGAATCGGACTAAACAATACTGCACGGTATAGTGCATAAGCATGCTATACTTTGTCTTGTTAGTCGACAAAGTTGCCTGTAAGTTTTATGAATTGATCTAGAGATCAATACCAAGAGCTTTGGAAAAACTCTACATAATACCATATACTGAACATAAAAATATTACCGTATTTGACGGCATATAAGACGCACTGGCATATAAGACACACCCTTATTTAGTCGGCCACACACAAGGAAAAAAAGTTTCAATAGCATGGTTTCTTTTAATTCTCACGTTTCGTAAAAGCCAAATAAACAATTATTGAATGCAATTACCTTCACGTATAAGACTGTGTCCTTCACATATAAGACGCAGGTAACTTTTTTGAGACCAAATTTAGGAAAAAAAGTGCGTCTTATATACCGTCAAATACGGTACATCTTTCTAGTCATAGTTCTTCCTCCTCTCGTGTTTGCAGTTTATAACAACAAAATTTCGGAGGAAATTATACAGCTGAAAGTTGTTTCAAAATTATACGTTCTTATTTAGTGTGTCTTATAGCACGTCCATAAAAATCCTTACACTGTCTGTCCTGTTAACTCTTGGTCGTAGAAAATACAAGGTGGCACACCAAATGTTATACCCCTTGTTTTTTTTACCAAATATTATACCATTTATTTTATTGAAATGCCGAAAAATGAATACGTATATAACTACTTGAGTGTTGAATGAGAGTTTAGTGTAGAATGTATGCACCATTTTCTTTCATAAACTCTTGCAAGCTCTTGCATTTATCACAATTTCCCGGCTAAGGTTTTCGAAACTACATGTCCCAACTGCACGATAGAAGCCTCAATTTGGGCTATATTTTCAGGCTTTATAATGATTAACTTATCTTTAATAAAATGTCATAAAAAGAAATCTCATGGATCATATGTGCTATGCGGGAGCCACTGCTCTCACCTTCATAACATTCAGAAAACTAGCATGACATTACACACAAATCTCATACAGGAAATCAAGAACAATATTTGCAGTACATAGGAAAGCTTCGTCTTGCATGAAACACTGAGTGTATAAAAGCGAGATGACCTTTTGCCATTTCTAGATGTGAAGATGGGAGGGCGGCGAGAGAGCAAAAGGGGACACCATTGCCAAATCCTGCTGGTGACGAATTGTCGTCCACCACATGTTTTATTGCGGTAGTTGCTTGTAGAATTGTTAACCTTACTTTGGAGTAGGAGACATGGAAAATGAACTATAACTCAACAGAATACAACCTTGACGTGCTTTCCAATTACACTCCAAAGGCACGAGATAAGGAAAAAAATTCCTTAGAAATTTACTTTCTTCCTTAATGAGAAAATAGAAGGGAGCTTCCTTGCAATGAAATATCTAAAAAAATACCAAATTTTATAACTAAACAGCTCAATAAATTTTTGTCGCACGAAAGTCAAATTTTTTATGCTTTAATTTTTTGAATGCTCATGCCTTTTTAATTGAATATAACTATAATTCCCAGAATAGCAAAAAGTTAGATTTTCGTTATTTTGAAATTTAGGAATAGCGTGTAACATGAATCTTTGATTCAGTTAAAAAATTTTTGTAATTCAAGTACAAGATAGTGACAAACGGTTGGGAAAATAAAGGCCCCCTAGGCCTGCATCGACGTGCTGCATTGTGGCAAGATGAACAAGACGGGCGTTTTGCAGTCGCTGCCCGCATAATCCCTGGACCTGTTGCTGATAGAAAACAATGAAATATACGAAAAGATACGAAGTATCATATTTTTTCATATATTATTGCACATAACATAACACAATCCTTTAAATCCATTGATAGGCCATTTACTATTATTGCATAATTCACGGTACAGGATTGATGCACATCGAAAGATTATTTTTCCTCAAATTTCAATTCATTAAATCGTACATTTTATATTGTCAAAAACAAATCTGGTTATGAACATATTCAGGCAGAACTCACGAACTGTGGTTTTATAAAAGAATTTGTTAACCCCGTGGGCAAGTGGCACAGGTCGTTGTTAATCTGCTTTACTTTGCAGTAAATAGATAGAAATAGAAACAGAAATAATAAAATATATGTATATACAATTTTATTGCCATCTCTTGAGAAAACTGATGTGAAAGGATTTCAGAAATTTGAAGTAATGCTTTTGCATAAAACAGAGAAAATACAGAATTTGAGTTAAAACACTTACACAGTTGATATATAGTCTATACGCACTATAACGAATTTCAAGAGACAGTAAGTTTGGTTTACTGCAGTGAGCGGTTTGCTATATACAATCCTAAGAGAAAAAATGGATTATGCCCCAAAAACGGTATGATAAACAAAGAAAGTAAACGATTAGTATTATCATATCTACCAAGGGAAGAAAATAACCAATCTAATTAAATAAAATTATATTAAGTTTTAATAACAATTATATTTGCGTGCAGTTATTAGATCTTTTTTTTCGTTCTTTTGTGCTCTCTCCAAAGTGTCTGGCAAATTCATTTGCAGATAGATATTATATGAAACATTTGTCCAGATATTGGAAGATTAGAGCTTCTTTGAATGACGAATCATTTCCGAAAAAGCTTCTTCAGCATATCTACGCTCCACCTTTCTCGATTTTCTCCTAATACCGAAATTGTATGATTTTTTTTTCATATTCTACTACCTGTAGATTTGTATTAACAGTATTTCTGGCAGAATCGATTTGGTTGCATTCATTTTATATATTTCGAATAATCTTTATTTTTTCTTCAATGCAGAAGATTTACATTTACAGCTAGACATGCAGATAAATTCATGACACAGAAATATAGTGCAGAGAGCAAGGTAAAAGAATACGTGAGAGTTCAGTTCTTCCGGGAAATATGAAAAAGGATGACATTTCCTTTGACAGTGCAATAATTTTACCTAATGTCATACGTACTTCTGCCTGGTTCTGAATATATACATATTTACTACTTAAAGTAGACGTGAACGTAATATGGGCATTTCATATAACAAATATTTAACAGCACGAAAACTTTATTATCACACGAACAAAACAAATAGTTTACACAAAAAAGAAATAGAACCATCTGTATTATTATTACGATAGGCATACAGTGGGTTGCTCTCATTACTATCTGTCATTTCTTTTCTAATGTAAGTTACGTTGAGAGACGGGCGTTGCACGCCGTTCGGCTAAACTGCGCATGCGTGGTCATCACGTCATCACACCTCCCCTCTAAAAGATTTGTTGCGTCTTTCAATGACCTGTCAAAACCACATATAAACATTTCTTGAAAAAAAAAATAACTTTATTAACTTTTTAAACTTAAATCTTTAACCTTAAAAATAAGTCAATCATTAAAATCAAACATTATACTTTAGCAAACCCTGGCTAAATAATGAAACATATTACACAACGTTATAAAAAAAAATAAAAAGCTTAGCATTTTAGCTCTAAAAAAAGAATGTTCGAACTAAATAGTCAAAATGTTTCATAGTTTATAGCGTTTCAAAAGTTATTGACTTTCAGTCATACTTCATTCACTGGAAAATAGGATCGTGTCATTAAGCCATGTCATCAGTACAAAACTCAGGATAGTCTTTTAGTCTACAGATAATGTTACCATTTCATTTTATTGGCACACAAACTACTGAATGTGCATATTCACTCTCTGATTCAACAATTAGCCCTAGCTGTAATAGCTCGTCCATTTGTCGATCAACTTCATTTTTTAAAACTTCGGGTATCCGGTATGGTTTCTGCTTCTTTGGCACTTTTCCAGGCTTTAGTTTGATGTTATGTTTTCCAACATTGGCAATTTTTGGAATATTAAATCTTAGGTTTGTATGCTTTCTTAAAATTTCTATAAGTTCTTTTCTGTTACGCGGTTCAAGATGCGTAAGACAACATTCTTCATCAGAATAGTGTTCTTTTGCTTTCCGTGGAACAATTCTTGGAATAGTTTCAACTTCTCCGAAATCAATGTTCATATCATATATCACACCAA